CGACGAGCTGAGTCGATTTAGCCCTGTCCGTCTGTCTGTCCGCCCGTCCGTCCGTCCGTCTGTATGAGTGCGTCCATCTCAGAAGATACAAAAGCTAGAGAGCTGGAATTTGGCATGCATACTCGCAGTACGAGTTTGCTTTATTTTTTCGATAAATCATCCGATAACTTTTTTATTGAGTATAATCGAAAAATTGATCTTGTTTTTTCAGCCTCATTTGAGCACTTCTAGACCTGGAGACTTCAAATTTACTGTGTATATACATATGCTGAATACAAGCATTTACATTACGCCCCTTCGCCCACAATTTGTAAAAAACGCATTTCAAATACTAGAGACTTTTGCTTTGGAATGTACATACATTTTTTTTTACGTTCTGAAAGTTTCATTAAGATACGTACGTCTAGAAATTAAATTATTCAACAAATAAATTCTCATAATATTGCCAACACTGCAGCGCAGCCGAAGCGCAGTCGCTGCTTACTGCGCAGTTAGAAGAGCGCGGGCTTATGCTTGCGGCTGGATGCATACGTATGTATATATGTGTGCATTAAAGAAGTGCAAAATGATAAGAATATCAGCTTGGAGGGTTCAGGGTATCTCCTAGTCTAGCAGTCTCGACTAGAGCCATCTTACTTGTTTTGAATCGTATTTTGAGGTAATAAATTTATTTGTATTTTTTTTTAGTGTCCTTAATTAAAAGTCAGATTTTCAAATATTTAATAACTTTCCAGCAAAAAATGAATTCCTTAATATTTCAACTAGTGCCTGGCTACATTTAATGTGTTCCATAAAAAGTTGAAAAATATTTTTTCATATTCAATTTTTCATATTCAACGCAGTCTGAAAATTTAATATTCTATTTACAATTGAAGATGCGCAAATTCTAGAGCTCATGCAACCCGTTTCGACTTTACTCTTTAAATCTATGCAAAGTGAGCCCTGCAGCCTGTTGGGCGTGGTTTGTCCGCCCATCACAAAAAAAAGCGAGAGATAGAGAAAAGAAGAGTTTGCAATGGCATTTGAAAGTCCTCATTGAAGTAGCTCTTTGCACAAGCCCCAATCAGCTCCAGCTTGGCTTCTGGCGACGCTGTCCTTTGCCATCTCTCTCGCTCTCTCCCAGTCTCTCTTGTCTCTTTGCAGGCGTGATTCCTTTCGCATTCATTTCTTGCTATCTCTTTCTTATTGTCTTTTTTCTTGTTCTATTTTTGTGTGTGGCCACCTTGTTTGCACTTGCTGTAGTGTCCTTGCCCTTCTTGTTGTTCTCGGCGTCCTCTACAACCACAACAACAACAAGAACAGCAACAATACAGTTGGCATTTCACATATGCCAGACATGTCAGGCAGCTCAACGAGGCCGATGCAGCTGCTTGTGGGCTGTAGGCGGGGCTTTAAGCATGGCTAACAGCATCGGCTAGAGAAGGTCATTAGGTTAATGGCTCAAATATTTGAGTTCGATGCTTGGATTTGCGTGCAAGTGAAGATTGTGCAAAGCTGATGCTGAATTGCTCAAGGAGCAGCCACTTGCTCTTTTCCTGTGCTTTAATCCTATTAAACTATAATTGGCTTTTGATATTCTACTTTTGATATTCTTTGCTTCGTTGTCTATGCTTTCCTATTCTCTCTATAAATTTGTGCAGTGCATATTTTAGTCAACCAATTTTGATGTTCAGCTATTTTGCCCCTTTTAGAATGTATGTCAAATATATGTATTCCCAATTGCTCTTGGCGAATTGTGCGCTGCTACGAGAAGAGGTTATGCTTAGAATTTTCTTTTCGTGCAACATTTTCTCATACAGCGTGCCTGAGTCAGTTAGTTTTCAACATTGTTCGGCTGCTGTGGCTCAGTAATGCACTTGATGTCCTTTCATAGCCGAGCTCGACATGCCCTGGCCTGTCTGTTATTTTTGGGTTTGGAAATACTCTTAGGTATAGCTTTCGGCTACTCACTTAGCTATTCCGTGCGTTGCTCTTCTGTCTGCGTTGAGCTGCTGCAGGTGCTAAGACTCCTGCTCTGCGCGCTGCATATGGCTTAGCGTCCTTGCCACGTCTGTTGTTCTTGTTGCTGTTGCTGTTGCTGTTGTTGTTCTGCTGCTTGCCCCAAGTTCTTGGCACACACTTCACGTACGCTGCGCTCAACGGCGCTGCTGTCTGCTGCGTTGTCTGAATGCCTCCACGCTACAATTGTCATGCAAGCGGACATTTTTTCAGGGCTCTCACGTGCTCAACGCCTCCGACGTTGGCTTCTCGAGCAGCTGGCGCCTCGCATGCCTGCAAAAGAGATAGAAACAGAGGGGGAGGGTGTGAGTGTCTGCTTATGATACTTGAGCTATGATTAATTAAGTGGCGCGTATAAAGCACGCTCTATTTAAATGCATATTAAGTAGCCGACCCGTGCACAAACAATTTACTCAACTTACGGACTTGCTAATGACTTCAAGGAATTTGCGAATTTGATTACAGATATATACTCTTCTAGGGTGCATCGACACCTAGAAAGTGAGCGATTAGCCACGGTGAAGGGAAGAGTGAGAGATTGTAAGCGCGGGAAAAGAAAAGTAAGGAGGCAAAGAAAACGATATTAAAGCAGGCGGGTTGGATAAGCAAGGATAGAGCATACTTTAATTTCTATTGGCTTGAGCTACATTTATAATGCTTATTTATCCTATATTATGGAATTTCATGTTATTAAGAAATAAATTCTAGTAACTTGAATTAAGTCTTTATGCAAGTTCCACTCAAAATAATTCTCGATTGCGAGTCATCTTAAGTCGTTGCGTAAACTTTTCAATTATAATGCGGACGAGAGAGTACGCAAATCATTGTGCACATCATTAGCAGCGTCTTTAATAGGCGGAGTCAGAGTCCCAGTTAGTTGAATTAATTGTTTTCGTGGAAATTGAGCTGTTAGCCAAACAGTGGGCGTTGCAAATGCGCGAGTTGCTTTTTAATTTATTTATGCAAATAACGAATGAATGCTCGCTACTGCGGGCCAAAATAGCTTGGCATTTAAATGCGTAGTCGCATAAGTAAATAAATACCACACCACACCCCTCTCTCTCTCTCTCTCTTTCTCTCTCTCTCTCTCTCTCGCTCTTTCATTGAATACTTTTCCTTAAATAACAACAACAAAAGCGAAGGAATCATGAAGTGCGTGGCTCAGTTGGGGGCAGATTACATCACAGCAACAGTCTGTCTGTCTCTGTACCCTTCTCTCTCTCTCTCTCTCTTTATTTCTTTCTTGGTCGGCTTACTGCTTACAGCATGCAAACATTGTAAGTCATACGCACTGTTTGCCCCTTCCGAAGGTGGGGTTATTTGGTTATTGTAAATGAGTTACGATGACAATTCTGTGGCAGCTTATAGTAAACTGACGCGGCTTTCGAATTTTTATACTTTGAAGTTTTTATTTGAGCTTTGAGTAATCCAATTTTAATTATTTATTTATTTTTTTTTTTTTAAATAAATATTTATAGAATTTTATTTATGAATGATTATAAGTCCCTTACCTGATTAAGTAATTAAATAGGTATCTATAAATTGCGTTTACAAAGCAACATGCTTATCGAATATTTGGTTATCTTTCTTTTTTTTTCCCAACGAGTTAACTTTGCCAAATTACACATTTAAAAGGCTTTTTTGCATTTATTTGATTCTATTTAAGCGATTTGCTGCTGCGTAACGAGGAAACGCAACACAAAGTTGTCAGAAAGTTCAAGTTTGAAGTAAAACTTGGGGAATAAACAAGGTATTTGGGTATTCGTATTCAGCATTCGCATACGGCATTTGCATTCTAATTCGCATTCAGAGTGATTTTTATCAATTGGTTAGTCGCTGTGTTTTGGCCGTGTAATTTGTGCGCCGGGCCAAAAAGATAATTGGATTTAGCATTTGTTTGTGCGCCCAATTTAAGGGCGTATAAAGCAAATTCCATTTCGCGAAATACATTTGGCTTGGGCTTTAATTAAAAATCAAAACGCGATAAGCACACAGAACACGACGCGACAAGATGAAAGTTGCAGAAGCAACAACAACAACAACAACAACATCATCTAAAGACGTTTAATTGTGGCTCGCAATTCCTTGGCAATTTCCGTGCTTGGTCGCGAAGCCTTTGCCGCCATAAATTCAGGCGCCAGGATCGCAGACAGGATACGCAGCGCGGTCGCAATTGTGCGACCGTGGGTCATTAATTTGTCTTTAGAGGCCGCCGAATGCCGACGTGGCATTAAACTGCTTAAGTAGCACAACTAAATTAAGAAAAGTGCGCGGCAGCAAAGGCGAAATGGCAATTAGTAGGTGAGGGGTGCTCAAGGATGCCGAGCATCGTCTGTTGATAAAGCTCAAAGTGGATTTCTTCTAAGACCAGATAGCGCACATCTCACAGTGCGCGATGATTCGTGGTTACATTATAAAACGGTGTTGCAAAATATTCAGTAAAAACGAATATAGAGATATAAACAGATCCGGGATGCATACAGGAACGCAGCATAATGAATGCGTTGCATGAGCATAATTCATTGCAGAGGCAGAGGCAGCGTCTATCAGGCAGCTATGAATTGTTTGGCATGCAGCTGTAATGTGCCACGCCCAACAGCCGAGGAAATGTTGCAACCGCAACCAAATAAACGTTGAAAATATGTAGAGCATACGAAAAAAGCAACTTTGCCAGAGGCTACAGCAGATACAACAACAACAAATGCGAATACAAACGAACACAATGCGCATTTATCATAGAAGGAATACACACAGAATACATACATACATACACACACACACACACACAAACACATATAGACGCAGACACAACATGCATAGATATTAATGTTGGCTGATAAAAGCAAAGCATGATAAACTTAACATGTTGTTGCCTTGGCGCGCATGCTGCGTATACGTAATATTTCATATATTTCTCCTCAATCTCTTGCAGCAAAGGCGAACACAAAAGCTTGAATTGAATTGCTTCGTATCGATGGATAGGCATCTGGCAAACACACACGATCATATACATATACATATCTATGTGTATATACATATAGATTATTATTTGTCGAAACATTTAATCAGTTTTCGTGCAAAGGCAAGTTTCTTTGCATTGCGCAAAAATCTTTGAATGGAATAAATTGTGCAGCGTATGGGCGAAATTGGATGTGAAATGACTATAGAAATGAGCAAAACGTAAATTAATATGTTGTTTGTGCTGAAGACTATTGATTGCAAAGCTTACATAAATGAGCAGAGAAACAGAATGCTGAAAACAGCGTGTCAAATATACAAATATTTAATATTACTTAAGCACATTTATTTTTGAGTACTAAAACTAAAGATTTAGTTGGAAATATTTGTTTTTGTATCGTATTTTATAATTGCAGTTAACTAATTTTATAAAACATAATTTGTGTATTTTATTCTAGTGTTCTAATGTTGCCTAGTCTCAAAATATTTTTAAACTGATTTATTTATTCATATATCATTAATTCAAATTTTATTTTAATAGAACACTATCGAGTATTCTTGAAATTTATCTCAATAAAATTAACTTCTAATGCTTGGTATAACTGGTGCTGTTTTTATATATTTTAGTAATTTGTCATTATATAATTTATTAAGTTCATTAAAGATGTTAACCTTTAAAAGGACAAGGGAAAATATAAATTTAAGCATATTTATTACTTTCGTTTGCATGCTTCGGCTATGGCTTCGTAGAATACATTCCATTCATATCTTAAGTTCTGTTTATATATGAATTTGTACTCATGCGTGGCCAATCTGTTTTTTCATCCGTGTAACACACTTTGCAAAATGTCTTCATAAAATTTGGTAAATACTCTGGATACATACATAGCCGTAATCTATTTGCTTTTCTATTTTCTCTTTGGATAACATATTTTTCTTGTTGATTTTACATTTTTCATAGAATCTCTGGCTAAAATTCGTTTTCCAGAATTCTATTTTATTTACTTATTTATTTTGCCACAAAAAGCAAACCACAAAGAATGCATAACTTTGCCAAGTAAATAAAAGTCTTACTCCCTTCTGCTCCCCACCAGCCAACAGCTGCAACAAGAACTATATAATTTTCGTTCAGCATTTAAATGCCATAAAACAAATGCCGGAAAATTATAGTTTTTCCAGGGAGTCAAGAAATGGTTTGATAACAGCAGAGTATACTTTCTTATTGCATCGCATCCCCGGAGCATGTCATTTTTCATGCAGATTTATGTAAAAATTTCTGAAATTTGTGCGTAAGAAAAATGCAGTGGAAAAACGCGCGCCAACAGCCAGCGAGCGAGTGAGTGGAGCAGAGAGAGATTGAGGGAAAACTTTCGCATCGAGCATTGAATTTGATGGCAAATAATGCGACTTTATAACTAGTTTAAATGCACTTTGCATGTCGCAGACGCTTGATAAAATTATTTAAACATTTTTCGCTCTTTATGGCGTCTGCTGCTTGACTTCAACTGAAGGGCTCACCCGCTTTACGCCCTGCTCTCTGCTCTCTGCTCCACTCCTTCAGTCAGTGCCTGCCAACAATGGCTTATAATTATTATGCTTTGCCCTTTTCGCCCGCTTTTTTCCGCATGCTTTTCTTAATTTTTGCATTATTTTTTCATATTCTTTATTTTCCTTTGTTTTAAGTCTTCAGCAGCTTACTGCCTTTCAGTTAAACATATACGAGTATATATATGTATTATTTATGCGAGCGCAATAAAAGGCTGCGCTCTGCGGCATCTGCATCTGCATCTGCCTGCAGCACGCTGCAAGTTGCCATCATTTCATTTTTTAAGTAGTCAGCAGAACAAAACAATGGAGCCCCACAATAGCCGTCAAGGCATTAAAATCATCAGCAACACAAACTGAAGGAGGAGAAACGCGAGTCTGACAGCCGAGGGCTCTGAGCGATTTTACCAATTATTTAACCATCGTGTTTAAGTGTAATATCTGCTAAAAGCATGAACGTTGAAATTATAATACTCTAAGCTTGTATATAAAATACAAAAGCGAAATTGTATTAATTCAGAGGAGTGTTATGTCGAGCTATGAAATAAAACATAAGAAATATTGCTAATGTTTGTTGAAATATGATAAAAAAAATCACAAAAATAAATAAACAATTGATGAAATATTTGTTATTAAAATATTCACACTAGAAATACATTTTAGATAAAAGTTTATGCTCTTTTTAGCAATTATTGGTTTATCTGAGTACTTCTATATTAAAATACAAAATTATGTTGCCAAGGCATTTTAATCATGTATAGATTTACAAA